TTGGCCTTGGGTGATTTTTCTATAGAATATCCACTTTAAGAATTCAAGGGACCATAGAAGATACCTGGACTACCCTGAGGAAATGAATGGCTTTATTTCAAACACTCATTGAAGCTATTGAATTTAAATACCAAACAATACTAATCCATTAAGTCTAATAAAGCATTTATAATAATACAGAAATATTCTTTAACATTAACACTTCAGAAAAAATTCAGGAAATAAAATTAGCCTTGAAAAGGGGAACAAAGCCATTAGATGAAATCTTATCACTGATGTAACAAACAGCAAGATCATTGCCTATGGCATCCAGACATTTATACCCATAAGTAATACTTCATGGTAATTCTTATGGAAGTTATTCTGACCATTTGAAGTGGAAGTTGAGTTGGAACTTGTTAATGCCTAAGTAGGTTTCATATTTTGAAGGTAAATATGTTTCGTTAATCTTCCAACCATAGGAATGGCTAAAGAAAATACCCATTTTCAATTTTAATTTTTCTATTTTGTTGAGTGAAAAAATACAGCTTTTAGTGATGTGTATTAACTTGACTACTTTTTTATTTAGGATAAGAAGCTTGTCACTTGCTTATTTTTCTTAGAATGTGGTATTAGGTAATTGTAATTTGAAATCTGGTGATGTGTATAGCTCTTTTTCACATATGCATGGGTTGCTGCCAAGTCCAGAAATTTGCCCATTTTTCTGGAAAGGAAAAAAAAATGACCACATAGGCTTTGATGATTTTTGCTTGAAACTGAAGAAGTTTTCACTCACCTGTAAAGAAGGGTAAAAAATGATCCTTTAATTTTCTTATTATTTATTGCACTCCTAAGGATTAAACCTAGGTACACTCTACCACTGAGCTATAGTCCCAGCCCTTTTTATTTTTCATTTTGAGATAAGGCCTTGCTAGTTGCCCAGATTGGCCTCAAACTTGTGATCCTCCTGCCTCAGCCTCCTAAGTAGCTGGGATTATAGATGTGTGCCACTACACCCAGATTTTCTTATATTTTAAAATTTTTTCTTACCTTTCTCATATTATTTAAGAGATTTCCTCAGACCCTTCTACTTCTGCTGTCATATTTAAACCCGTCCAAAATGTTTTTTTCTGTAGTATTCTGCCCTTATTCATGTGTTGAATATCTTCTATTGTCTGAGAAAAATATCGCTTTTTTTGTTATTGTAGCCTTTTTGTTTATTTTCTTATTTCTGCATGATCATTATTTCTCCCAAGTTGCTTTTGCCTGTTTGTTTTGTGCTCTTTCATATATGATGCTTTACTTGATTTATTTATTGTTTAGAATCATATACAGGTGAAATTCTTATGGCTAGAACCTTTGTTGATTCATGTAGTTCTCAAATTATCATAGAATGTCACAGGAAGTTCATGATAACATGTAGCTTAGAGAAGCGAGCTAATAAGATGAAAGTGCTCAGAATTCTAAAACTGCCACCAATAAAAGCAAAACTAGCCTCACATTTAAAATTTGATTAAAATTAAGCCTTAAGTTTAAAAATATCTTTAAAAAATTCTTTAAAATATCCTTTTCAGGGTGTTTGCCAGCTTCCCAGTAAAAATGATGAAAAGGAATACCCTCACAGAAGAATTGATATCAGGTGTGCTCAAACTTTGTTTTTTCTGACATTCTTGCTTTTTCCTTTTTGAATCCTTGTCTTTCTTCCCTCTGTATATCATCTTATTAAAGTTTACAAGTATGTATAGAACCCTCTTTTATTCTGAAGGACCATATATTCTTGCCTTAAGTATAAATAATAATGACTATCTACAGATTTTTTTTTTCTTCATGTGGATTTGCACATTACCAGAGTGTCTTCTATAACTCAAAAAAAATTTCTGGCATGGGGAAGTGAGTTATACTAAGTGATAATGCTTTTCATTTCTCCACACCTCTTACAGAGGAAAGTTTACTGAAACCTAAACAATTGCAAGGTTGTGATTTAAATGTTCCACTTAATGATAGTCTTCTCTTCAGATTGTTAGGACACAAAGATTTATTTTAGGCGTTTTGTTCCTTGCTTAGTTAGGAGTTCTATGCTTGCTAAATTTGAGAAGTGTAATAAAAACTTTATCTGCTTTATTTTTAGGTTGATACCCAAAGATCAGTATTATTGTGGGGTTCTTTATTTCACTGGGAGTGACATTTTCAATAAAAATATGAGAGCTCATGCCTTAGAAAAGGGTTTCACAATCAACGAATACACTATCCGCCCCTTGGGAGTCACTGGTGAGTATATGTGACTGCCTTAGAGATGATCCATGTTATCTGGAGAGAAAGTTATTTTCAAGGGGTTAGCAAATTTAGCTTCTCTAAAAAGCTGGTCAAATGTATTTGTATTATTAGTCCCTTAGAACAAAGGGGGCTTGAATGCTTAATGTGCTCCCAGTTCCTTAGTAATGACCATTTATTAAATCCTTCCTGTCCATCATAGTTATTAAAAAATTATATTGGTTTAAAAGAGTTTTTTTGTTTTGATGTGTGGTTCCAAAAATTCTGAGATATCATTGCTTTTAATGCCTCCCAAACTTTAAACCTATGCTTTAAAGTTTAAAGAATAAGGATTCTTAACTCTATAGATCTTGTTAACATTTCACAACATACTGTATGATTTACTATTCCCTACTGGAGAATGAATTTTTGCCATTTTGCCCTAAAAAAGTAGGGCTTTTATTCCTAGGGCAGTGCTGCTCACATTTCAGCATGCATACTGTTTACTTGGGGACTTCATGGGATGCAGATTCTAATTCCTTGGAGCTCAAGGTTCTGCATTTCTATAAGCTTCCACAGAATGCCACTGCTGCTAGTACTAGAACATTTTGAGTTGCAAAGGAACTAACTAGAGTATTTTATATAATGTGATAGCTATAATGGAGATCCAGCAGAGAGGAAAATCACAAGTTGGGGTAACTTTAGTGAAAATAGTTGGAAAACTCAGGTTCTTTTTGTAGCATTGGTAATGTATATGTAATAAAACTCAAGTACAAGCTGGTATGCAGAGGATTAGTAGCTTGGTTTTCCTTTTTATTATGAAAGCAAATCTCACACAGCTCTCAATCCTGAACCCTCATAACTAAATTGCTAAACTGGTTCTTAAAATAAATTTCTTTTCCCTCTCTACTTCTAGGAGTAGCTGGAGAACCCCTGCCAGTAGACAGTGAGAGAGACATCTTTGATTACATTCAGTGGAAATACCGAGAACCCAAGGATCGAAGTGAATGAGGCCTATTCTTCCTTCCAGACATAGCCCAATAGGAGTCTTAATTTATTTCTTAACCTTTGCTATGTAAGGGTCTTTGGTGTTTTTAAGTGATTATTTCTTCCCCATGCTTAGCTTGCATTAGAATCAATAAAACCTCTTGTTACTATGGATGGTGATGTTCTTATTTCTTAGCAAATTTGTATAGTTTAAATTTCATATTATGTTCACGGTCACACTTTAGTATGGGTAGAGATGAGACGATAGCAAGTCTTGAATAGGAATTTCATTTTCTTTATTTTCTGTCCTATGTTATAAACCACATTACTACTTTTCCTCCTATTTCTGGATTACAAATATCTTACTAGGGAAATATATATTGAGGAAGATTTTTTTAGAAACTAGAGGTCTTCATAAATTTGATTTTCTCTTTTGTAATACACACTTATGGCTTAAATAGAATAGGTGTATGATTTATCTCTTAAGTGAATTCTGTAGCACCTGACTGGAATCCATTAGAGCTTCCTGAAGCAAGTCCTCTTCTATTATGCACATAAGACAGTCTCTTAATCTTAAAGAAACAAAAATTTCATTCCTGAGTTTTCCTCTGAAGTAACTTTTAAGTATAAGCAGTCAAAATGTATAAGTAAAAACATTTATTGAAAGCTCTAGCTCTCAAATATAAACATTAGATAAATATAAAATAGGAAAAGTTATCAAATGGTTAGGAAAGTTATTGAAACAGAATATGTGAAAATGCTTTGTAACTTGCAAAGGACTATCCAAACAGAAGATATTATTACCTTTGAGTCTTATTTTTTTGTCATAAATTATTTTGTGGTGAAATATAATTTCCCTTTCAACAAATGAAGGGAAATAAACAATAGAGTTTTTAAAGAAAATTGCTATATTTGCTCTGATAATTTTCCCTAGTAAGATATGAGAATTTGTTTAATGTCAGGTACCATCACTAATTTTTCCCCTAAGATACTGTTAGGTACCAGCCCTGCACTAGGAATTACATAAAAATTTATGGGAATGTGTTTTTTTTTGTGGGGGGAGTGGGTACCAGGGATTGAACTCAGGGGCACTTGACCACTGAACCACATCCCCAGCCCTATTTTGTATTTTATTTAGAGACATGGTCTTACTGAGTTGCTTAGTGCCTCACTTTTTGCTGAGGCTGGCTTTGAACTCATGATCCTCGTGCCTCAGCCTCCTGAGCCCCTGGGATTATAGGCGTGCACCATTGAGCCCAGCAGAGGATATACATGTTAATTGGCTTGACTATGGTAATCAGTCATCTATGTATATAGTATATATCAAACCATCATTCTGTGTACCTTAAGGTATACTATTTCCTTTTCTAAAAAAAAATTTATTTGAACTAATTGAGTCACTAGATCAGAATTCTTTTTTAAAAAAATTTTTTTAATATCTATTTTTTACATGTAGATGGACACAACACAATGCCTTTACTTTTGTGTGGTGCTGAGAATCGAACCTGGGTCCCACCCATGCGAGAGAAGCGCTCTACCGCTGAGCCACAATCTAGCCCCTCTTTTTTTTTTTTTTTTAACTTACAGAATCACATCAGATGAAAAGCCAAAGATGGCTTCCATTCATCACAATGTATCATCTCATAGTTCTCTAGTTTCAGTCTACTTCTGTTGCTGAAAGATTTGATTTTAAGAGAGATTTGTATGGAAGCACTTTAAAATTAATGTCTGAGAATCTGCTTGAGGACAATGAAAATTCTTCATGTTGAAGTGTTTACAGCTTTTTATATTTTTTGGCATATTCTTAACCGTGCATGTTGTCGATTGCCAGTCACTTGGCTTCGACATAATAGTCTAGGACCACAGTCACAGCGCTGGAAGATTTCTGGAGCTTGAGCAGTATCCTTATGTCCTCTTCTAGAGCAGACTTGTCCCTCTAATAGGACTGGTTTACAAATTTTAGTCCAAAAATGACGAGCACAGCAAAGTCCAGAGCCACAATCAAAGGTTCTCAGACAGCTTTCTCCCTCTTGTCCTGTAACAAGATTGATATGAACTTTAGTGGTAAGTGGGGGAAAGCTGGATGTAGGCGAATTGCTAATGGGACAAGATTAGAGATCTAGAACTGAAGGCCACAAAGTAAAAATAAGAATAGTCTTCAGGACATATAGAGTTAGATTTTCACACTAAAAGCAACAATGAAGTGGAAATCTCAGTCCATCTGAGCATTTATTGTCGTATAAAGTTAAAACATTCATCAAGGGGAAACGGGATTTCTAGTCTTGAGAAATGAAATATCATTTGGCAATGTTTTATTAGGTGGGATTTATAGTGTATGGAGAGACCCTTCATTACTTATGAAGGGACCTACTTAATCTGAAGATACAAATAAGAATGGCCAGTTTACCACTTTCAAACATTCTGGCTATGTTAGAGAGGAATTTTAGACTACAACTTTAAAAAAAAAAAACTTTGTACAAGGCTGAAAATTTAATGCATCTACTCTCATTTCTATTTTATATCCTCAGGATCTAAAAAGGGAAACTACGACTTGTTAAATTACCATATAGGCAGAAGAAAGCTGTATGTTTGCCAGGCATGGTGGTGCATGCCTGTAATCCCAGCAGTTTGGGAGGCTGAGGCAGAAGGATTCCAAGTTAGAGGCCACCCTCAGCAATTTAGCAAATCTCTAAGGAACTTAGTGAGACCTTGTCTCAAAATAAAAAATAAGAAGGGCTGGGCATGTGGCTCAGTGGGTAAAGTACCCCTGAGTTTAATCCCTGGGACCAAAAAAAAAAAAGGTGTATGTGTGTCAAACTGAACTCAATAAAAGGTTTTCTTGTTAACCAGTCTATTGTTAACAGCCATTCTCCTGTCCTCTTGGCCTACTGACTACCTTATACTGCTCCTTGCATGCTCTCTGCAACTTCTTATGGAAAGAGATTACAAACAAGACACGTTCCCTGTTTCCAAGGCAGAGAAGAATAGTTTCAGCCTTTTCTTATGAGACTGGAAGGAGAAGATATTTTTCTTAAAACAAAAATGCCTTCATGATGCTCTCTTACCCTTACTGCCTTGTGGTTTCTTAATATTTGACTTCCTCTTGGGTTTGTTTTCCTCCATTGGATGCTCAGTTGTTCCTTTTGTGTCTGTGCCATCTTGGTCATCAGTCTGTCTTTCCAGTATTGGGGCTGCATCTTCCATTGTAGTGCAGACATCTGAGAGACAAGCAGGTGGCACTAGAGTTAATAACTTCAACAGAACAACAGACATGCTAGTTATGCTGTTATACAATTTGGCATCACTTCTGTCTTCCAGTTATACATAACTTTCTAGATATCTGGGACATACACTAAATATTTACATGCTGATATATGTCAAAGAAGGTAATTAAATAATTAATAGAATCCGAATGAAAAATAGAAAAATTTGAATGATTCTAACTTGAAGGTTTCCTTTAAAATCATCATTCCAAGGCACTGGCTACAGTTGTTTGCCAGGAGATGAACTATTTTGTTTCATCAAGAAGAGACAGCTGTATAAATATATTTCAAGCATGACTCTAGGAAGCCCTTAGAGTGCCTTTCTTGGAATCTTCTAGTCTATGAGATTCCATTGCTGTCTTCAGTTTATAAATCACTTGACTGAAGCAAGGCAGTCCTGCTGGGTTTTTGATTGCTCACCATTCATGCAGAGTGTTCCTGGGCAGCACATGGCATTTCGCTGGCACCTCCTCCGCAACCCTCGGCATGTAGCACAGAATGGCTTCTCATCACGGGGCTTGAGGCAGAATTTTCTAGTGTTGCAGTCCTTGTCAGACATGCACTGTGAAACCTGTGAAGGAAAACTTGTCACAAGGCTAGGTAATCAAACAAGAAGTAAGATGGCTTTATTTAAGGAGATGGAGGAGGCCAAATCATAGTAGCACTTTGAACGCTGTGACAAAGGCAGGGGCTGGGATTGTGACTCAGTGGTAGAGTGCTTGCCTAGCATGTGTGAGGCACTGGGTTTAATCCTCAGCACCACATTAAACTAAATAAATAAAATAAAAGGATTTGTCCATCTACAATTAAAAGAAAAATTTTTTTAAAACTTAGGCAGAATTTTAATTTTTCAGTGTAGTTGGTTTTCTCCCACAAAGGGGAGATCAAATCACCTGCAAAGAGACCTTGGCACTGCAAAGGTTGTTTATGTTTGAAAAATTGTCATACTTTCCAAAACTTTAATTTCCTCATTCTCTTTGTGAAAAGGGAAGAAAATGTTTTCCTATGTATGTCTTATAGATGGCTATGAAGTGTCTAATTTATATTTCAACTTTAGAGGCTGTGCTACAGTTCAGTTAAATATAAAGTTGGCATTTGTAGCATTCTTATTTGATTTTTTTACTCTTGAATCAGTTATTGTCTCAATGATCCTTACCCAATTTAACAGTTCTTTGATTTTTAGTGATGCCTCATTCGTTTGCGCAGAGAAAAAGATACCATAGATCAGGTTTTTTCATCCATAGTTGATGCTCTTTTAGGGATACATAAATGGTGGCCTTGCTGGGACTCAGAACCAGCTGAGTCCCAGCAAGGCCACCATTTATGTATCCCTAAAACAATTCTGTGAAGCAAGATGGTGACAATAACAATGCATCATGTTACTGCATTTAAATTATACCCCTCCCCATGTTTACTGGCAATGTGGTCTTGGTTAAATTACTCAACATTCTGAGTCTTATTTCTTCATCTATGATTTGTAAATGTGAATCTATCTCAAGTTGTGGGGATGATTAAGTGAGATATTGTGTATAAAAGCCTGGCACACGGTAGAGTTTTTTAAATGTTAGTTTATTCCCTGAGCTGAATGTCCTGAAAAACCACTTGGCTCTTTTAGTAAGTTAATGCTGAGGCAATTGGATTCTCCCTGGGAACCTTCCCAATTCCACAATCAATTCAGATAAGCTATTTCACACATTAATTTTTTAATGAGATAAGCTATTTCACACATTAATATAAGCTATTTATTAAGATAAGCTATTTATTTATTTATTTTATTTGAGATAAGCTATTTCACACATTAATTTGAACAACTTATTTAAACCTGAATGCAACACCCATCACCCACCTCCAAGTGCCAGCGCTTTCACCCTAGGTGTGCTCACCTTCCGAGCCCCTTGCATGTCCGCAGAGGTTTTGATGTTGTTGAAGTCCAGAACCAGAGCTCCCAGGGGCGAGCAGAACCAGCTGAGTCCCAGCAAGGCCATCAGCACCATCCTTCAGTTTCCCGGGGTCTCCTTGATGTTCACAGCACTTTGCGTGTCCCCCCAAATTGGGATGCTCCAAACCCACAGCAGAGCTTCTGCCAAGCTGGAAACTACAAGTCGCCTGTAACCCTGTTCTGAAAGAGAAGCAATTCTGCCTACGGAAGGTGTATGAAATTGAAGAAGCAGGTATGATCAACAGGTTCTTTCTGCAACTATTTATAGCCAGATGTGCCCCCTCATCCTTCTCCTCCCTCTCCTCGCTTCCTTCCTTTTTACCCCACACAGGCTTCAACAAATCCTTTCAAATCTGTTTGATCAATAGTTCAAAACAAGGACTAGATAGAAGGAGACAAGAGGCAGGGCTGCAGCGGCTTCTCCTCCAGGGGTTGAATCCCTCTTAATTATTGCATATCAAAGTTAGTTCAAAGGGCCTGCAGGAGAGCAGGATGTCTGTATCAAAGGCAAACTATGATAATCACCTGCATTTCCGACCTTCAATAATCCTTTGGGGAGGGGTGGGGGGAGTCTAAGATCTGTTTTCACAGCTAATTGTGCTCAAAGAAAGAATGAATCATACTGGCCAATATGCTGTAGAAGATGCCAAAAGCGAATGTTACCAAATTTTCGGAGAAGCTTTAAACTGTTTCAGATAGTGTGGACAGATAGAGAAAATGCCTTCAATTAGCTCTGGCATCTGGATGTAAAAATCTCAATAGCTTAAAAATAATTATGAACGTTAATAGTGCCTGTTCTGACTAAATGGCAATAAGGAAATTATTCTTACAATGAAAATTGAACTGCTTAAAGTCAGAGATATTTAATGAGGAAAATAATGGGGTATATAAAAATCCCATTTAAAAATATTTTTGATGGTGGAAACCACAGAAAGCCCATTTTATATAGATTTATGCAGATCATTAGAATGTTTTTGATTCATTTTATGAACAATATATTTAATTTGTATTGCATTAAGTTAAATTAACATAAGCAGAACTGGTCTTTAAGTCTCCAGCTGATTCCAGATGAAATTTCATGCATTTCCAATTTTCCAAATTTGAATGTTTAAAAATTGTTTTAGTCTTTTTGTTATTGATTTTAAATTCTTTCTTTTTAAAACAGGGGTCTTGCTATGTTGCCCAAGCTGAGCTTGAACTCTTTGGCTCAGGCTGTCTTCCTGCCTCAGCCACCCCAGTAGCTGCACGAGAAGTAGTGCCACCTTGCCTGGCACTATCTGATTTTGTTTTTCTAGAAAGACAGAGAAGTCATGTATTGCTGCTTTGAGTACTTTAAGGGTAGAACAATCTAGATCTGGGTCAAAATTTTCCTTTTTCCTCTCTTCATTGTTTTCTATATTCTCAGGATAAATCCATCCCAGTACCTCAGGTAAGATATTATTTAAAATCTAAAAAAGGCAGGTTTTTTTATACCATTTTTATAAGTGGCAACCTTAGTTTTACCAGGTCTTCTTCCAGGACAACCTCACATCAGCCCCTGGTCTTGGATCTTGACATTCTGTGTAATGAGAATATTCTTGCTGTGTGTGCGTGTGTGTGTGTGTGTGTGTGTGTGTGTGAGAGAGAGAGAGAGAGAGAGAGAGAGAGGCGGGGGATGGAACCCATGGCCTCATGCATGTTAGGCAAGCACTCTACTATGGAGCACTTGACCCATGCTGCATTTCTCACTTTGAGTAAGGCACGACGTGGGTCAAGAGTTGAACTGGGAAATATGCCTTTAGGTTACTTGGCTCTCTTCCTTTCGTTGGTGTTATTTGGTACTGCTCATGTGGTACATTGGGAGTTCCTTCTTTGTCAACTACTATTTTTTTAAAATCACTTAAACTGACAACATCAAACACCCTTTGATAATGTGATAAGCCAGCAAGTAGGGATGGTACAGAATTTATTTTGAAGTTGGGCAATTATGACCAAGGATAAAGGCGAGAGCCCCAGGGTCCCCTGTCTGCTGAGTCTCTCCACTTCCTGTTGCCTAAATGCAGAAAAAATGTCAGGGTACCAAAGGCCACTGATGCTATACAGACAAAAGGGCTGGTAAGAGATGCTGTAACACAATACAGAATCTTAAGGATGTAGTAGAACCTGTATTCAATGTTGGAAATGATGTATGAAAACTCTGAGTATACAGAGTCCAGACAGAAGACATATGGATGGGTGACTTGTGTATATTATGATAAACATTAAAATAAATGCAGAGTTGGAGGACCTACCAACATATCAATACAGAGGAGGGCATGATTTAGATCTTCTGAAGAAATAAAGGAATGTGTTTACAGAACAGGTAATATTTGGGCTGTATTTTGTGGGCTGTATTTTGAATAGAGGTTTGCTAGGTTGAGAGGCATGGATTGGTCTCACCCCAGGTCCTGACAAGTTCAGGGAAGTGTATGTAGGTTCTAGTGAGAGATTCTGTGTGGCTGGGGCAGATAATGGGGTGACAAGATGAGGCTGACTGTGACACACCTGATAAACCATGTCAAGTAAACTAGATTTTATTCTCTTTGCCATAGAATGATACTTGAACCTGAAAATGGCATGCCCTAATTTGCTTTCTAGGAAGATGGTGCTGGTGGTAGTGTGGAACTGAGGTTGTGGTGGATAAAAGGTGATGCAGGGAGGTCATTCAAGACTCAGCTGTGACTGCTCTATGACAATGCAGAGGTCCAATCTCTGGCAGTGACTCATGGCAATGAGAACTAAACAACGGATGGAGTTCTGAAATTGTATCTACACCATTTTGTATAGGTGTGGGAAGTGATTGGGAGGGAGGAGCCAAGGATAAATCTGACATTTCTAATTTGGGGTCATGGGATTGGGACTGGGATTTTAGGCTAGAAAGCAAGTTGGGGGAGGCAGGACAACAGTTTGCCTTGAAAAGCTATTCAAATAATCAAGTATTTGCTGAATATGTAGTATTGAAGTATAAGATTAACTAACATCTTGCATGAATGATAGAGATCTCCATTTTGTCTCCCAGAAACAGAAGAGTTAATCTCTCTCTCTCTCTCTCTCTCTCTCTCTCTCTCTCTCTCTCTCTCTCTCTCTTTGTCAGCACTGAATGAGTGTTGGCTTTGGAGTCAGGCAGACCTTATTTGGTCCCCATCCTTGCTTCCCTTCTTGGGCTTCCTTCCACTCCCATCCCCTGTGCCTCCATATGCCTATCAAAGCACTTACAAAACTCTTGTTATTTGTCTTTATATCTAAATGTTAAGCTCTGTGAGGGCAGGCCTATAGCTAATTTATCTTTATATTCTCATGTTTTGAGTGCTTGGCACATAATAAATGTTTTTATGTGATGCAAGAATGCATAAATGAGTGGATTTACAAAACTTTGTGACCTCAAGCAAATTAGTTCACCTTCCTAGATTGCAATCTCTTCAACTGTACAGCTAGCACTATTTAACTGAAGAAGACAATATTCTAAGGGTTCAGTGTCTGAATACATGCACAGGGCCTGGTGGGGTAACTAGCACTCATAAAACTCTAAGCAATTGTCACTCGTCAATTTTCCAGGCTAGAATATTCCATCATCATATAATCTTTAGCACCTAGCAATCACATGGCCATATCATAGCAGGCTTTCAATAGTTGTTTGTACAATGCTTAAAAAAAAAAAAAAACTATTTCTGTCTCTCAAAGGTCAGAGCAACTTGGAGGGGTGTAGGTAGGTGGAGTACTCCCTAGAAAATGACTTTTGATATATTTTCAAATTTGCCAAGGCTGCTTGCCTATCGGTAACAGTCCTCAGCTAGGATGGCAATAAAGAAGATGAGATGCCCTCCTGGCAGCGTCTACTGTCACAAGCTGCATCTCAATTTTCTGGGGATTAGAGGTAATGGGAAGAGGGTGACAGAGAGGAATAAAGGAAGAAAATGAAAGCTTTAAAAAAATGTTTCTGCTTAAAAAGGCATCTCTGCTTCTGAGTTACTCCACTGGATGCAAACCACACCAACAGCACAACAGGGACCCCTTGAGCAGTAGGCAGCATCTTGAACCATAGCTGTCTTTTTGAAAAAGCCACTTCATTCACTGTAGAACAAGGGAAGCACTCCTGGGCAGTTTTGGCCAAGATGTTGCCATTTTGATGCCCCCTGGCAAGGATTATGGGTTAATTGAAAATCTCAAACTGATCCTTAGTTTTGTAGCGAACACCTGGACCAATGAAACACCAAAATTGAGCATTATTGAGTAAGCTTAGAGGAAACAAATATGCCCAGAAGAAATTTCCAAAGGTCCTGGTTTTAGAACTGTATGTTTGATCACACTCTGGGTGTCTCCTGACCTAGATAAGAATTGTAGGCTTGCGTCTGACAGCTGACACCTGTATTCTCCCAAATTACAGCTGCTATGGTTCAAGTCAAAGGCAGTGTCAGAATTGATGATTTATATTCACAGAATGGAAACTTTTATTTGTTATGGTTTCAATGTCAAAACCAGTTTGATTTCCATAAATTTTACTTTTCTTAAAAGAAAAATCAAAGTAACTGAAACAAGCAGATCTTTGGCAGAATCTCACAGGAAATGTTCAATAAAATCAGAGATGAGAAAGGGCATGTTGGGAGCAGACAAAGACTGCAGGATATAATGACAGAGTTGATGTAATCATTACCTTTTACCTACCTGGGTCAGGAGGTAAAGCAAACCATGTACAAATGCTGAGGAGCAAGAGTTTGTCAGGTGTCTTGCAACAAAGTGTGGGGGTTGCACAGGATAGGCTGGAAAGCAGGGAATCTGAGAGGTCATGTCACCTCTTAACCTCAGTTCTTCCTGATTTGGGGATCTCTCCCATACCAGTTTTCCAAGAGTTTAGGATGGGGTGTGCCTTGTCCCCATGTTGCCCAGCTGCATAAGGCACTATTCTTACCATATTTTCTGTAAAAGTAACTGCCTTGGAAATGGTGCAAGATGGCATTGTTAGGGACCTTCCTTCTCTAGCATAAATGGCCTTGGTTCCTCCCCCGACACCAGGCATCTCTCTGGGAATAGCACCAGGCTCCCCAGACATTGCTTCCTCAAAGATGGTTTCTGTCAACTTTTTGGGACGGTGGGTACCAAGGGTGGAACTCAGGGTATTCAACCACTGAGCTACTTTCCCAACCCTGTTTTGTATTTTATTTACAGACAGGGTCTCACTGAGTTGCTTAGCATCTTGCCATTGCTAAGGCTGGCTTTGAACTTGTAATCCTCCTGCCTGAGCCTCCTGAGCTGCTGGGATAACAGGTGTGTGCCACTGCACCTGGCCCATCTTTTTGTTTAAAACGGGATTTGATGCTATTTCTTGTGACTTCATAAATCCTGAATGCCTCACCCTAGTCCTGGGGACCCTTCCCTCTCTTGCTTCTCTGTGCCAAGCCAGCTGACGTATGTTACACAAATTGCAATGGGAGTGACAAGAGAAGAAACTGACCCTGTCTCAATACATAGTAGTTGGCAAACGTTGCTCTTCACTTTTTCAGTGAAGGAGTTGGTGATTTGAGAGGAGGACAGATGTGCATTTGAGTGGACTTGGGTCGATGCTGCTCTGTACTCTGTGAGTGGCATCCTGCATCAGTCTCTGTGTGTCCCAGCAGTATTCCACAGAGTATGCATGTACGTTTTTGGTGTTTTATAAAAACTCCGAGTTATAGTTATATTTCAAGAGTAGTTCATGGCCAAATTCTTTTTAAAAAATATTTATTTTTAAATTTTGGTTGGACACAATACCTTTATTTTAGATTTATGTGGTGCTGAGGATTGAACCCAGTGCCTCATCATGTTAGGTGAGCACTCTACTACTGAGCCACAACCCCAGCCCAGGGCCAAATTCTTGAGGCTTCTTTCAGTCTTACAACTTTATGAAATTCTCCCATATGAAGTAACAACTTAGAAAGCAAAGCATTTTCCTGGAGTTCCCTTTGATTTATTCTCTTTATTGGCTTAAAAGCAAATACTATGCCAGGAGGTGCACATTGGAAAGAGGACAGAAACTACTCCACTAAGCGGAGCTCTCTTCCAATTTTTTCCATTTAATTCATTATCTTCCATTTCTACTGTTATCTCCTGTATGCTTTTCCATCATTTGAGCCTTTTTTGCCTCAATTCTCTTCATTTCCTTAATTTTTCTTTGCATTATATCCCTGTAACCCCACTTATTGTTTCCCATTTTTTTTTCAATACAAATATTCTCTCAAATTTGATGATGTTCTGGTGGCATTTTGAGCCTAAAGGGAATGGTAAGCTGATGGTTAGTTCTGTCCCTTGTGCCCTTTGGTGCCTATGTTGGGATGGTGGCCTCCTCTATGTGGGCTTGTGATTCACTGTCTCCAGGAACCTAGTCTGGAGTGGTGTCTTGTGCATGAAAGGCTAGAAGGGTTGTAGAGGTGGGCAAGGACCGTAAGCTCCACAGCAACACTGTGTGTGACTTGGGGGCAGAGGCTGTCATTACCAGGTAGTCCACAAGCCCTAGGAAGACTTTTTCATGGAAGGAGTAAGCAAAGAGGGATCCTCCAGGTCTGCAGCCTCTTCCCAATTGACAAAATATGTTCTGCCATGATGCAGACCAAACTGGGTCTATATTTTTTTCTCAAAAGTAAGCGGTGAACCCCATTGTATTAGAACACTTCAAATCTGCTAGAGTCCTAAATCTGAAAAAGCAAACTTTAAAAGATTAACGTTACCCATAACCTATGTACAACATGAGCTCTGGAATCCCCTACTGGAGAAAAGAGGCTTGTGCCTTTAATTTCCCTGTGTGTTAGAGGGTGTTACATGATTCTAATATCCCTCCCCATTACCACTCCCACTTCAGGGTGAGTCTTCACCTAATTATTCCATCTTCCTGGTGTTGTGGTATATCTGAGTCACTGGGTATGATCATGGCTCCTCTGTTCCAGGCTTTCAGGTGTGGTCTAAGTCTCCCTAGGACTTTCGCCAAAGAAAGCTGTCTGTGGCTGAAACCTCCCTCTGGGTGGGCCCCATCTTACCATGAGTTTATTCTGGGGATCTCCATTTTAAAAATGAAGACTGTGAGTTCAGAGAGATCAAGCAATTTGCCCGAGGTCACATGGCTTATGAGTTACAGACCTAGGATTTAAACATTTTCTGGTTCCAAAGTGTATTCTTCCCTCCATACCACATTACATAGCTCATGAGCTGAAGTCCATCCCCAAACTTATCAAGTCGATTGGAATATAGGTATATATATTCAATAAAAAAATCACAGGGAACTGTGTTGTTGTTCTTAGGTTATATGTAACTGTAGGAATGTCATCTTTTTTCCGATCTTTTGGGTAAATGATACTTCACTAGGAAGTGCTTATGATTAAATAACTCTTTGGTTGTGTCAGCCAGGGTCTACCCTAACCTGTGGTACATTGAAAACTGGTTTTATCATAACTTTATAAACATTTGAAGCTCCTTTGGACACTCAAATTTGACTCTAACTTTGATATAAAGTCCCCAGACACTCTATCCAATCCTGATTCACAATTATGAGAATCTAGAAGATCTTGGATCAGGTTTGGGGGAGTAAGAGGAAGGGTAGGGTTTTTGTCTTGACTCAATAGGAAACTGGCCCTTTAGGTTTAGCTTGACTTTTACCTTGTCTTCTTGCTCCCTCTTGTGGCCAAAAGTGGGCCAATCAGAAAGCCTAATGTAAATTCCAGGTATGTGTGATTCCAGAAACATTTCCCAATTTCTGGGGGAAATTCCCCAAGGAACAGCACTCTCCTTCTCATAAATCTAGGTACTTCCACACCTTATGAAAGTAAGTCAAACTTTTCTAATTATAAAAGAAATACATATTTCCAAATTTTAGAAATTTTGGAAAATACAGAAAAGGGTGAAGAAAATTAAAATAACTTATGCTCTGATTCAGCAAGAATAGTTACTGTCTGACTTTGGTAAATTTTCCCAATTTTCTTTTTTTTTCTATGCAGTTACATATACATATATACATGCAGCATTTATTTAATATGCAATGTTTCATCTATTATCAGCTCCATAATTAGTCATTACTTGTGCCCATATCTACTCTGTGAGCATCCTCTGCCAAGTTCCACTGTTTCCCCATTGGAGGTAGACACTGATGTTTATCACTCCCTTGCTTCTTCTTAAAATGAAATCACAACACACACACACACACACACATACACACACACACTGATTATACTAGATATACCTTTGTTTATACCTTTGTTTCCTCCTTTTTTTTTTCCCCTTCCGCCAAGGCTTTCTCCTGGATAATCAAATATTATCAGGCATGACTGAATCATAACCCAGAATATAGATGTAGTATACTTTATTTAATGAATCTTCTAAATGTTAGCCATTTAGAGTCTTTTAAATTTTTTTGCAACTTTAAATTATTTAAGCAATTAATGATAAATCTGGGCATAAACATATGATCACTTCCTTGAGGTGAGTGGACTCTAAGGTTATGAAATAAGTCTTTGATTCTGCTCTCCCTCTGCTGTGGAAGCCATTCCCCTCTTGTCCATTACAACCATTACAAGAAGTCTTCAGTTTCCTCCCAGGTTCAAATAGGTGCTGGCACTGCTGTGTTCCTGTGCTCAGCTGCCTCCTTGTTATAAGGTGCCTTCTTCTCTTCAAAGATACCATCAGCATCAGTTCAGTAGGTAAGGGATCTTCAGGTCTCATCAGAATTTTGGAGTCCTTGAAAAGAAGCACATGGGCCCTTTTTATATAAAGAAGGAAAATTAACACCATTGGCTTTAGAATCATATAGTATTCTTAACCCTTAGAGTCATTGAGCTATCAAAACTTCACAATAGTACTTCTGTTCTCAGCTGTTTTTTAAAATTTCTGAGAATATATCTATGCTAACTTTATGGATTTTTCATTATAAAAGGCAACATAAGCAGATCAGCAAGTTATCTTGATGATCTGAGCAGGTGACCTGGATCCTGTGAACCCATTCATGGGGAGATACCATCTCTCTGGGCCTCTCAATCTGATGACTCTGCCACTTTGGGAAGTTTCTTCAAATATTACCTCTAAGCACAATGCCCTGTACACAGTAAATACTTAGCACATGTCTCTCAAAGGAAGGAGTCTGAAGTCCATTTCTACTCTAAAATTCTATAAAAATTCCATAGGTACAGAAGATTATGTTACTAGGATTTGTGAGAACCAACTGCAGTTTTGAGGTAGTGAAGGCCAGAGTGTTGATATGGTCACTCTTAATCTCGATCTAGCTAACTTGACAGGGAGCAAAGGAAGGATGCCTTTCTGCAGCAGTTGTCTTCTGGAATGGTTTCTTTTATTGCCTTCCTGCTTCACTTGTTGGAGAGAGAGCAGATCTCTCTGGATGACCTAGGACTGGTCATGTCAGGTCCTTTCAGAAGACAAAACTTTGAAAAACAGGAGACAAGGAAAGAATGCTGCTAAATTCCTAAAGTCCTCTTCTAATGCCTGCTGTACTTGACAAAGGTCAGGTCTGAGCCAAATAGGCAAATGAATAAATATGGGTTTTACTTGTACAGCTTTTAAACTTCTATTTCATATTAATTTTCATGTTATTAACTACTAAACATTTTCCATCTGCCAGGTAGATTATGAACTCTGAATACAACCTTTAATATCCATTATAATTTCATGAGGTACATATCATTTAGTTCTGTTTCATTGCTGTGGAAACAGATATAGAGAAGCTAAGTTGCTTGCCTAAGATCAGAGTTGACAGAGCTGGAACACAAACTCAGCCTCTTTTGACTCCAAAGTTCATTTTATTTAGGCTACCAAGTTATACTGCTCTGTTCTTATGACATTTATCACATTCTGTCTTATTCAGCAGATATCTGTCCAAGTCTTACCTTATGAGTCCCTTAGGGGCATTTAATTTACTTATCTCCCATTGACTGAAATGCCTTATGGCAGACAAGCAACAGTATTTGCCTATTGATTCAAGCATCAACCTGTATTGTATAATGATAAATCCAGACTTTATGGTGTTGTTTTCTCCCTTTTATTTTAAAAATTTAAAAACTTACTGGAAAGTTTCAGGAAAATCTATCTATCTTCTATCTAGATTCACCAATTGTTAACATTTTGTCACATTTGGTTTTTCTTTTTTTTCTAAACGATTTGAGAGTTAGTTGCAGATATACTTTTAAATATTTCAGAATGTATCTCCTAAAAACAAGGTCACTTCTGCATAATCAAAACACATCATCCTCAAAACATTTTACATTGTTACAATACTAATATAATCTGCATTCAAATTTCTCCAATTGTACTAATAATGTTCTTCAAGAGCTGTTTCTTATCCAGGGTCCACTTAGAATCACACATTGCTTTTAGTGTCATATCTTTCTTTTGTCTCCTTTGATGCAGAACAGCCCACTAGCTTCCAAAAACAAACAAACCAACCAAACCATGAAACCGATTTTTTTTTTTTTTTGAGTAGACGTTCCCTCATTTCGGGTTTGTCTGATTCTTTCCTGATGAATAGGGACAATTACACAAGTTTGGCCAGAAAATTATCTTTTGTGTTCTTCTCTGCAACACATCGCCAGGCACATAACGTCATTCTCTACCATCCATGGTGAAGTTAAGTTTGGTTATTTAGTTAAGGGTGAATTTCTTGATGTGAAGGTACCCTTTTCTCTTGGTAAGCAGTCTATGGGCGATTCTTTGAAACCATAGCAATATCCTACCCAACCATCTATTGATTTTTTTTTGCCTGAATCAATTACTACTACAGTGGTTCCAAATTGGTGGTTTTCTATTTATATAATCTCTCCTACACATTCATTACTTGGTATTCTCCTCTGAAGAGCTTTCCCTCCTCCATCTCCTCTCCCCCTCTTGAGTTATAATCTACTTCTACTTACCCTTTGGGGACCTATGTTTTCTCATCCTTAAGATGACGCAAGGGTGACATTCTTGTTACTCTGAGATGAAATTCCCAAAAAGATCTGCTAGACATCTACCAGAGAATGAGTATGGATGTCGTGCTCGCGGCAGTATCCATCCGGATACAGCAGGGTCCCCATCTCTACGTGCCTTCCCCGTGCCCCTCCATGGCAACTGTAGCTAGGTGCCTTCAGGCGTTCTCGCGAGAACGAGCCCCTACAGGGACAAAGCGAGGAGCCCTGGACTCCGCCGCACCACGTCAACCCTCGCCCCAGCCACCTGCGCGCTGGACCCTCCTGCGCACGCGCGCCCGAGAAGTCGGACAGTTGGTGCCCATCCGCCCGGGCGGCTCCTCTCAGCACCCAGACCCGAGGCGCGCGAGCGCGACAAGACACCACGGCGTAAACGCGCTCGGGGGCGTCAGGGGCGCGCAGGCGCCGCGGGGGGAGTGAGGCCGCGCAGGCGCGGACGGCGTTGGTTTGAAGAAGACCTTCAGCGTTGCCCTGGCGGAGCCGAGACAGGCCCTTAGGTTGGAGGTGAGGCGAGCTGAGGCCGCGTACCCGGAAGACCTGGGAAGGCCGGAGAGTGGGGGGACTTGATCCAAGGGAGATCGACGGAGGCGGGCCTAACAGAGGGCGGTGGAGGGAGACAGCGGTCTAACGGGGCGCGGGCCGGGCAGGCCGCAGAGGGCAGAGGGGACGCCGGCTCCTGCCAGGGACCTTGCTCCTTGGCCGCCTCAGGTGATGGAGCCGCAGCGAGCCGCGACCTTCCTACCACCCCGCGTGCGGACAGGACTTTGTAAGGCTAGAAAGGAGGTCGGTTTCTAGGGAAGTTGGGTCCTTGAACCCCAAACAACTCCCGCACCCTCGCCCTCACCTTTCTCTCTGGAATTGTTGACCAGCGGGGTCTTACACTGCTGGCCGAAGGGAGGATGCTGTCCGTGCAACTTAAAAAGCAGGAATGAGGAACAAAAGAGGGCTCTCTACTGACTGTCAAGTTTGTGGTTGTGTAAAGCAATATTATCTAGTTAACGCCTTTTTAAAAATTCCAGTCTGCGTCTAATGCAACCTCGGTACACGGTGCATGTCTACGAAATACATTTTGTAGAGCTAATAGAAATATGTGGTTATAGCTTTACTCTCCAGTAACAGGAAATCTCCCTAACTTCTTGCTTTTTGCTTGATCATACCAGCGATGCATTTCCCGTCAGAATCATGGACCTGAAAAATAATATTAAATTAGGCAGAATTGAGATCAGTAAACTAAATCAGCTACTTGACTTTTGCAAAATATCTGATACTGTTTTTGAAAAATAACAAAATGAAAAAGATTATAACTAGTACCTAGAGGAATATATATGGGTGCTTGTGAGTATTTCAGTGTATCTTTTCTCTTGTCACTAAGAAAAACTGAAAGCTTTAGACATTTCTATTTGAATATATAATTCCTGCATTTCTATACTTATCTCCCAAAATACAGGCTTCTGGCAAAATTTCAACGAATGAATACTAATATCGATTGTGATCATAATACGAAGTTAGAATTGAGACTATGTAAAAGTCTTGAATTGATTATTGAAATATAAGGAACTGAATTATAAAATAATTGCTCTGGAAGTGAACTATGAAACTCTGTAGCTTAGAGCACAGTTTTATTCTGGTTTGAGTCAACATATCCATACCACTCTTTTACCTTTACTACATTCTTTCCTCTTTGCTTTGTAATTTGGTGGTGGGGGGGAATTGAACTTGGGGCCTCCTGCATGCCAGGCTAGCATTCCACCACTGAGCTACATTGCTAGCTTATATTCCTCTAAACTTTCTATATGGTTTTATATATATTGTACATGAAATTATGCATGTATGTATATAAAATACTCTGTCCTCTTAACTTTATATCATAGTGTCTGTTATATTTACAGGTTTAGATTAAGGAACAAACTTTAATGAATTCTCAGTTAAGAAGTGCATGAGGACTGGGGCTGTAGTTCAGTCGTAGAGCACTTGCCTATTCTGTGTGAGGCACTGGGTTCCATCCTCAGCACCATACAAAAATAAACAAATAATAAAGCTATTGTGTCCAACTATAACTAAAAAAATGTTTTTTAAGTTCCTCCTTAAAAAAATGTAGTACATGAAGCACTTCAAGTATGATGGTCAAGTATGATGGCATAATTAGAAACTTAGCAGAAGTTCAGATTAAGAGCTAGACTAAATATAAATAGCTGGACTAAATATAAATAATGCATAAATAAATAGTTTGAATGCCTAGATGATTCAGGTGTAGTAATTGTAAGTGCTAGCTGAAACTCTGGATTTTTCTGGTATAATAAAAGTGTGCTCATGGAACTGGTTAAAGTGGTTCTGTAATTGATTAGACATGGCTTTTGAGTCTGTGAGATGCACACAGCAGAACCTGCTGCAGGAAAGAACTTCCATTATAGAAAAAGGGCAAAGGAATTGTGTTGGTAGCTATGGCGAATTTGATGTGAAGGTCATGTTGGCAGTAGACAGGTTGGGGCAAGATGTAAAGTCAAGGCAGCTTAGGTTTTCAAAGTTATAACTGCAGAGTTTACATCAACTTTGGTAAACAGATTACTGAAGGTAGAATTTATCCTATTTTAGTTAATGATAAAATTATAAACTTTAAGAAGAGCTTTGAAAAAGACCATATTCTGGATGAATACATTTCAATTAGTATGGTAGCTTTTATTTTAAGGCTTCTTTTAAGCCTTGTTTCAGAGAAGCAAAATGTTAATCCTGAGGATTTTTTCCTGTGTGTGTGTGGTGCTGGGGATTGAACCCAGGACTTTGAGCATGTGTGCCATCACTGAACTATATCCCTAGCCCCAACTCTGAAGGTTTTGGTTACATATATTGTTACAGTTCCATAAAAATTTTACCTTGTGGCTGTACGCAGCTCATTCGCTATATAAAGTCCAGTAAAGCTTTTTCTGAAGTAAGTTTTGAAGGTTTTGTTTTGTTTTTAGAAGAGTATCATTTAACAGAACACCCCCCTTCAGCCTGTGAGAACTTTCTTTTCTTTGAAATGTAGTCAGAAAGATAACTTCTGACTCTCATGAGAAAACCTTTTATTTTCTAGTGTTCTGGAGAGCTCTTTTTTTAAGGAGCAGAATGCCTTTTCTTAACTTTGACATTAATGACGCAAAGGAAGAAAAAAACTATGCCTCACAGGAGGAAAGAGTAGAACAACTTTAGGTGAATACATACTAAATGATTACTCCTTTGTTCTCATCTTTCTTTATAAGATATGTGTAACACACCGACTTACTGTGACCTAGGAAAGGCTGCCAAGGATGTCTTCAACAAGGGATATGGTAAGGATATACTATTATAAATCTCCAGGTTTGGGTAAGGGTTAGTGTTGAATAGCTACTGTGTGTACAATAATGTGTTAGTAAAATAATGGTAAGCCAACATTAATTTACTTTACAAACTTTAAGGGGATAGCTATTAACAGGCTATTAGACTTCATTCTTTAGAGATAGAGTTCCTTAAAGCATTTATTTTTAGGTTTTAAAATTTTTGGCTGTGCACATTTAATTTTTTCCTGATAATATTAATTGTATATTTCAACTTGTATATATATATATTAGCATAGTATTTTCCAGTAATTTTGTTTCTTAGAATAGAAAATATTCCTTTCATTCATTTGTTCTTTAATTTATATTTTAAAAGTATGTCTTTATTCATTTTGAGGGTCTTAAAAATTATACTTATTTCATTGTAATGCAGTTTCTTCTGGAATACTCACCTAATGAGAATACCATGTATTTTCCATATGGAAAGTATTCTGTGCTATTTTCATAATTTCTGAGTGAAAAAAAATGGTGTGTCACATTTTGTATATTTTGTTTTTGTTTGTGTATCTAGGGTTTGGCATGGTCAAAATAGATCTGAGAACCAAATCTTGTAGTGGAGTGGTGAGTAGCTATTATATTTTGAATAGATGTAGCATAATTAACTTAAAAGGAACTTGCTTAAAAATAATTATTAATCTAGTTAAGTGGATTGGCATACTTTTGGAACTGTGCTCTTTCTTACAGTTTTGTTCTGCTCTTGATTTCAGTAACTCAGCCAGTGAAACCTATAGACAATCAGATTGAATGTGGCAGAGATACTTGTATTTGTCATAATGAGAATATTCTCCATCATACTCTTAGAAGATAGAGAATATGTATTTTTGACTCATATCATATCTTTGCATTCATGAAAATATATTACCAAAAACTTTATTGCCATTATAATGGGTTCATGTATGTTTTTTAATTAATTTCAATTTCTGTCTCTTCATGATTAGTTAAAACAAAATGTAGAAATAAAAGTATTTCTACATGTATGCACATCAGTAATTAATTCTTTAATTTTTAACTGATGATGTTCTTAACTTCCAGTCTTGTTCTCTCCCTTTCTTTTTTTTTTTTTCCTGGTGGTGCTGGGGATTCAGTTTTGAGGATTCAATTGTCTCATGCTAGACAAGCATTATACTACTGAGCTATGTCCCCAGCCCCAACTTGTCCTTTTTTCCCCTGGAAGTAAGAATATATTAAAGGATGTATTGACATATTTTCAAAGCATCATTAACCAAAGTTTTTATTCAGGAAATCTCAGCAAATAGGTTAACTTTTTATTAACTTCATTCTCTGATTTCTCCTCATGAGCTTCATCTTTTGTTTGTATTTACCTATTTGAACCCATGCAAAGTTTATTTCTGGAAATAAAGATTTAATTAGAAGGACAGAAGCATGTGGAATTCCTGTATATTTTCTGTTGGACTCTGTATAATTTTTGGTTTGTCACTGTCATTCTTTTTCTGGGATTCTGTAGCATAAATAAATATACATATTCACCTGCCCTACTGATATTGGCATATTGTATGTATGGCTATGTGAAAATAGAAAAATCATACATGTTTTGAGTAGGTTTTGGAATTTGTGCAAGTTATGTTTGTGTTGTGAATGTTATCAACTAAATTTTATCTCCCCTTTCATGCTGCTGTGGTGTGATTATATTCATTCAGATGGTAAGGAAAAAAGCTTATTTGTTTTTATGGTTGCTTTTGGTCTTGGGACTTGAAATTTAGGATAAATTTCATTCACTGTTTCTTAGATTGTATCTGCATATTTTTATCATACAGCATCTATTTAACAGTGACATTTTTGTTCTGTTGCTTACTAACATGTAATATAGAGCTGTGGATGTTATATGCATGTTATAAATATATTTTTCACTTATTTGACCTAAGTATGAAATTAGACTGAAGCAGTTGTGGGTATGGAGTTCAACTTAGAACAATCTAGTCTTCTCTGAGATTTTTACCTCTAGAGGTTTAGTTTCTTGACAGAGCTTCAAACTAAGAAAAGTTGACAGTAAGAAGGAAGACATGTAGACTATATCACTTTAATTTTATTCATAAAATTTTTCTAACACCAAAATTAATATCTGTGTTTGCTATGCTTGACAAATTTATGAAAATGTAAAAATACTAAAACAAAACAATTGTCACATTAAAGAATTACATGGACTGTTAAACATGACTAATATTTTATCGCTTTTTTTCTAAGGCCTTGCTCTAAATGTGCAGCATGATAGTCTCTTTGAAAGCTTTCTGTGTGGTGCTGATAAACAGATCACAGTTTCCCAGTTGTTTCATCTGCCTGTGGAACTCGAGTTAGGGGGCAGGGTTTTGTTAAAGGGAGGATTCATATTGCAGGCAGTGAAACAGAACTGGTCAGGGTTGGCAGCCTTTTATTCTGTTGGCAGTATTTCAGAAATGCTCCTTGCAAACAGGACCAATCAGAATGTTTTTTTCTTGACAGTTGTAGATTGTCAGTGACAGGTGTTGACTGTTTGCATGCCCCTAGAAGGAGGTCTATTTCTAATTGCTTATTGTCATATGACTGAAAGGATACTTAAATTGGGAGGAGGATATACTTAAGGCATTCATAGTAGCTGTTGGTAGAAAGCAACTTTATAAGGTAACAGAATGGAGAAGAAGGAAAGAGGGATAAATTGTAGCATTCTACTTTATTGTGAAAAATAGGTAGATAATTTCAAGTATTGAAATTATTTATGTTGAAAGTTTTGCGGATAGTGTTGTAGACAAAAGCAGTTAATGTTTTCACAACATTGTGAACGTACTTAATACTTCACGTTAACGTGTAGGCTGTACACTTGAAAACTGTTAAAATGCTAAATTTTATGTTAAATGTATTTTTCCACAATAAAAATACATTAGAAAAAGTAATAGGCTGGGGGTTTAGCTCAGTGTTAGAGTGCTTGCCTAACCATGCACAAAGCCCTGGGTTTGATTACTAGTGCTGCAAAAATCAAACAAAAAACCAAAGCACTGATTCTATTAATGGGGAGGGGTAGTGCTTTGGGCTTTTTAAGGACCTCTAGATTTAATTAGTAGTTTGAAAGGCATTACAGAGAACTGATGATGTTTTTTAGACCATGAAAGTAAAATGTTTAAGATTCAATAATTTTGTCTTTTGGCATTTATTTTTAGTAAAGATATATTTCTTAAGGAGAGAATTATTTTTATTGTTTGCTTGTTTATTTATTTATTTTGACACTAGGGTTTAAACCCAGGGGTACTTTACCCCTGAGCTACATCTCCAGCTTTTTAAAAAATTTTTATTATAATTACTTTATTTTATTTGTTTATTTTTATACAGAGCTAAGGATCGAACCCAGTGCCTCACACATGCTAGGCAAGCAGTCTGCAACTGAGCTACAGCCCAAACCTCCATCTCTTTTTATTTTTTTATTTTGAGATAGGGTTTTTCAAAAAGTTGCGTAGGGCCTCACTGAGTTTGCTGAGGATGGCTTCAAACTTGTAATCTTCCTGCCTCAGGCTCCTGAGTCACTGGTATTACAGGAGTGTGCCACCCACACACAGCTTGAAGGAGAGACTTTAAGGTGCCCATTTAGGAAGAGTATATAGAACATTAAATATCAAAAAAGAAAGATGATTAATTAAGATATATATTAAGAGAGGAAAAGCAGAAGGAAAGCAGGATTGCTATAAATTAGGGCACTGGTATAAAAGTAAATTGTATTAGTTTCTGATGCATTGAGCTCTGCTTTCTGAAATTAATGTTTTCTCTTGGATGAGATAATTTTAAAGTAATTATCTTTTTGTTTATCAGGAATTTTCTACTTCGGGTCATGCTTATACTGATACAGGGAAAGCGTCGGGCAACCTAGAGACCAAATATAAGGTCTGTAACTATGGACTTACCTTCACCCAAAAATGGAACACAGATAATACTCTTGGGACAGAAATCTCTTTGGAGAATAAGGTAAGAGAAAACATTAGAAGTTATTTGTAGGTTCAGTTTCTCTTGAAGATTGAATGATGAACAAACCCCAAATATAATCTGAATGAGGTCTTACACCATATCTAATAGCTGTATTTTTTCTATGCATTTTTTTTTTTTTTTTTGGTATGTCTTACATTTCTAGAAATAAGGCTTTGTTTGTGAGTCCTCTGATTATTACATAACATCTTTTCTGATCAGTTCTGATTATTTTGTTATATAGTTGAACTTTTTCTGAGTAGAATAAACTATTTGCAGTAGTTTAGTTTTGTAATCATTGTAAAATTGGCTCCACAAAAAAATGTTTCTAAAATTCTTTAACATTTTCAAGGAGAAATATCAGTAGACATTTGTCAAGTGCCCACTATGTACAGGGCACTGTTTTTAAAAGTATATTTGTATGCACGTTGTCATATAAACAGATTACAGCTGAATAAATTATTTAAGTTGACTTGTTATATCATTATAGTAACTTCAAGAGAATGTAGAAGATTATTTTGTTGTATTGGAATTTATTATTTTTGTTCTATAATTTATGTTATTTGCCTTAATAGGATTTGGCCTATACATTTTAACCTCCTTTTTTGAGATGGGGTCTCACGATGTTGGCCGAGCTGGCTTTGAATTCCTGGGCTTAAGGGATCCTCCTGCCTCAGCCTCCGAAATAGCTGGGACTACAAGTACCTGCCCAGTTGGCTCAGCTTATAACCTGTTTTTTGATGGGAGAACCATGCGGAAGGCTAGGGGTGAGGGACGAGGAATAAGGGGACAGGGAAGGATGGGAGGTAATTTATTATATAATTTAATATCTGGCTTTATTTAATGACTTCCTATTTTTGTTAAAGAGGAAGTTAAAGGAAACTTAAAAATTGGCTCTTTGAGTCAAATAAAGTATTAAAAATTACTAATTGTTCATTTAAAATCTTTGTTTTTCAGTTGGCTGACGGGTTGAAACTGACTCTTGATACCATATTTGTACCGAACACAGGGTAATTATCTAAACCCTATTTTATGAACTGTTTTTGAAGCCTTAAAGGTTTAGAAGGGAGTTGCGATGAAAGTTTAGAGGCAGAGAGAAATTAGGAGGCTCCTGTTAAGAATACTAGAGATCTTGTGTATAAAAAGATAAAGAAAGATCCTTGAAGTAGGATAGCATTTTCATTTGAAAATTGAACAGATGAACAAAAATATATGTATCTATTCCAAAGAGGCATATTGTAGAAAAAAGTTTGGGAGCTAGAAGGGTCTAAGACCATAGGTATATCTTAAGCTGTTCTAAAGATTGATGGGTATGGTATTCTTCTGAGAAGTTAATTTCTGAAGCAAATAATCTTCAGAAGATAATATAATTTATGGACTCTAAAACACCATAATGAATAGTTTTGCTACTGACTTGATTTCTTAGCATACTCTGTAAAGAATGTGGATGTGTTATTTCCTCTAAGTAGGTTCCCAGCTATCTGAAGGACAAAGGTGCTGCATAAATGGAAAGTAGAATTTCTTCTCAGTTGTAACTAGTATCTTTCCTGTTACATGCTTAGTTACCTTTAGGACTAATATTCTCATCAGAGATTTGAATGGAATAGGACATGGATTATTAAGAACTAATTTTGTCTGTTCAGTACTATTCTTCAAAATAATACATTTCTTTCCATGATAAGTTAATTATGTGTATTGGGTGTTACTTTTGTGGCATTTGCCAACTTATAAAGAGATTTAGTTCTCATATGTCTGTATACCTACATCTCCAGTATTAATTTGGCACTGAAAAATTTTATTCCTTTTTTAATAAAGTTTTAATTGACATTTTACATGTTTTATGGGTATTGTGTGGTGTTTTGATATTTGTATACATTGTGTAATGTTCAAGTCATAATAAACGCCTCTGAACATTTATCATTTCATGGTGAAAACATCAAATCCTTTTTTCTTTTTTGAATTATATATAGTACATTATCTTTATCTATAGTAACCATACTGTGCAATAGAATGCCAAAGCTTAATATTTCTCATATAACTTAGAATCTGTTGACCAATCTTTCCCCTTATAGTTTTATTTATGCCTTTATAAAATTAATCATGAAGATATCCTGTTATTTGAACTTGCAGGGAAGAATAGATAATAATAGTGTGTACATTTCTAATATTAGTAAACTTACATTTGTAGAGCTAAGAAATCTGAAACATTTTTACCATCCTTATTCCATCTACCAAAACAGTATTTACTTTGGGAGAGAGACGGTCTTAACTCTAAAGATTCCTGCATAATAGTTGAAACTTATGTTGTTCTCATTTGTTTTTTACAGAAAGAAGAGTGGGAAATTGAAGGCCTCCTATAAACGGGATTGTTTCAGTGTTGGCAGTAATGTTGATATAGATTTTTCTGGGCCAACCATTTATGGCTGGGCTGTATTGGCTTTTGAAGGTTGGCTTGCTGGCTATCAGATGAGTTTTGACACAGCTAAATCCAAACTGTCTCAGAATAATTTCGCCCTGGGTTATAAGGCTGCAGACTTCCAATTGCACACTCATGTGTGAGTATTTATAAATTGATTCTTCTTTAGTACCAGTGCATTTGCCCCCCAAAAGGTGATAGTTAGCATATTGAGAAGATTAGAAGTGATAGTAATATGCCGTGGAGGATACCCAGCCTTGGTGTGTTTTCATTGTCAGCAGAACACTGTCAGGAGGCCAGTGAACTTAGTGCATATTGCTGCACTACTGGTAGTTACTGGCTTCTCAGCCTTTACCCCAAGCTTTATTAAGCTCTAGAAACTGTAGGAGAACCACTACTTAAGAGACAACCCAGAACATGGGTTATCCTCTGGGTATAAAAAATCTTTTGGAGAGTTCTGCTTCTTCCTCTGCTACCCTGCTATCTATGCTATCTGGGCCATATCTGGAAACTGGTCTGTTTGGATTACTAAGAACATCTTCTGTTCTTCTATATTGATTGGCGCATCCTCAGTAATTCTATGGAGGTTTTCAGGTATCCTTGGTCAGAACTGCTTCTCCTATTACATTCAGAAGTAATAGAAGTCCTCAGAGCTGTCCTGGGATTCAGTTGTGTAGCCTGCACTCTGTTGGCTGAATGAATCTGTACTTGTATTTTAAGTCTTGGCCAACTGAATATTGTACTGTACCAGGACATAAAAGAAAGGGTGATCCAGGCATGGTGGCAAACACCTGTAATCCCAGTGCCCTGGGAGGCTGAGACAGGAGGATCATGAGTTCAAAGCCAGCCTCAGCAAAAGCAAGGTGCTAAGCAACTCAGTGAGACCCTGTCTCTAAATAAAATACAAAATAGGGCTGGGGATGTGGCTCAATGGTTGAGTGCCCCTGAGTTCAATCCCTGGTACCAAAAGAAGATAAAAGGGTAAGAAAAGTGTTTTTGAAGTATTACAGATTGCTCTCCACTAGATACTCTTATTCACTTATGATGGCTAAACAGAGTCAAACAATGATATAGATAGGCATTGATACTGGTAAAATGGGAAACATGAAAGCTCATCTGTGATGCTTTAAATCTATAATTGAGGTGCTTCTCTGGTGCCCCCTCGATATCTTAGGGATATGTTTTCTCACTCTAGGGCTATGTTTTAAATAACATCCAGATTTGGCTTTCCCATATTTCTGCTTTTTAAAAATTTTCATAATCTTTATTGAACTCTACTTTGAAGTTTCTAAATTTTATGAACATCCCAAAGATCATATTTACCTGCCTTTGTGCATAATTGAATCAATCTAAGAAACTTACATTATAGCTGGGTGTGGTGGCGAATATCTGTAATCCCAGCAACTAAGTAGTCTAAGGAGGAGGATCACAAGTTTGAGGCCAGCCTCAGCAATGTAGGGAGACCCTCTCTCAAAATAAACAATAGAAAGGACTAGGGATGTAGCTCAGTGATGGAGCAATAAATGAATCAAATGTTATTGTGTTCTCATTAGGTGATTATAAATTGCACAGCTGGATTAAGTTCCTTGTTTAATGGTCATTTATGTTAGAAATTTGCAGAAATCTTTAGTTGCAAAATGGAATCTATATTTAGATACTCTTAGAATTTGTTTCCATGTCATAATAATGAATGGTACAAACTAATATTTATGACTTTTTCTTATGCTATGAAAACAGGAATGATGGCACTGAATTTGGAGGTTCTATCTACCAGAAAGTTAATGAGAAGATTGAAACGTCAATAAACCTTGCATGGACAGCTGGTAGCAACAATACCCGTTTTGGCATTGCTGCTAAATATAAGCTGGATTGTAGAACTTCTCTATCTGTAAGAATGTGCTACTAGTTTGGATCTGCTCTTATGTTTTCATCTCAACTATAATTGAATGTTGTGATATGATTGTAGTTTGGGCATTCTTTATTAATTTTAATGAGATAGCTCATTGTGTAGTAAAAAGATAATTGTGCCTGGGGGTAGGAATTATGGATTCTACTCCTAGCTCTTCCTCTGTTTGGCTATTGTCTGACCTTCTGAAGTAGTTTGATCTCTTTGGCCTTAGCAATTTCTTATCTGTAAACTCATGGGATAGGATTACTATTCTTGTTGTTATTGGTAGTTCTTAATAATAGTAAATCTACTCTTAGATTTCAGGGACTTAATGCTTAGGCTTTCCATATACTATTTCATTTAATCCTCACTACTGTATGTGATGAGTAGTGTATCTTTATCTCTGATTTATAAATGAGAAAAATGGTCTAGAAAGGTCAAAGTCACAGTTTGTGGCAGTGTCAAGATTTGAACCCATATCTGATTGTCTGTCAGCAGAGTTCATGTTATAACCTCTGTCAGGTTGTAAACTAGCATTTCAAAGAATTCAGTTCATAGGCATATACTGTGCATTAAAAGAAATTTGCTCAGGGCCTTTAAGCACACATTCTCAAAGTTGCCACTATTCCTCCCAGCCCTATTGACTTCTTAAAAGGCTAATCTTTTTATTTATACAATTTTCAGTTTTACTAATTCTAGTTTGGCTCCAAAGTGCTTTTAGTTTTGGAAACCTGATGCATGAAGTAGTGGTTGTATTGGCTACATATTGTGAAATTGATTGTCTTCTGTTTTTATTCCATCTCTTAATCTTAGGCTAAAGTAAACAATGCCAGCTTGATTGGACTGGGTTACACTCAGACCCTTCGACCAGGTATGTAAAAGAATTAATAACAGAGGGGTTCAGGTAGAAGGTGAAAAAGGAACCACACGAATAACCTATAGAAAGACATCCTACAGGGCTGGGGTTGTGGTTCAGAAGTAGAGCGCTCACCTAACATGTGCAAGGCACTGGGTTCAATCCTCAGCGCCACATTAAAATAAATAAATAAAGGTATTGTGTCCACCTACAACTAAAAGAAATCTATTAAAGAAAAAGAAAGATAGCCTGTAATCATTGTAGGTTGATTTCAGACCATTTTATAACATTTGATCAAGTACTTTCAGATCAAATACTTTCACATAGAAAGAGTTTATTTCTAATTATAATTTGGTCACTCTGGCTTTTTAGTTTGGTTGATCACTCATTGTTTGTAACCCTGAACTCCAAATAAAAGTTTGCTGTGATCATGCTTTACGCATGTCAGATCAGAGGATAATGGATAACCCTATTCCAATTTAGTACAGCTTATACCCAGCTTATAATTCATGCAATTGACTGTCCATTAGTTCTAGAAAACTTAGATCTGATAGTAATGTTGGCAATAACCGACTGTGGTGTTTTCTTCTTCCTAGGAGTCAAACTGACCCTGTCAGCTTTAATCGATGGAAAGAACTTCAGTGCAGGAGGGCACAAGGTTGGGTTGGGATTTGAACTGGAAGCTTAATGTGGTTTTGAGTAAAGCATCAGATTTGTTCTTGGAAGTGAAGAGAAATGAACCCACTATGTTTTGGCCTTAAAATTCTTCTGTGAAATTTCAAAAGTGTGAACTTTTTATTCTTCCAAAGAATTGTAAATCTCCCCACACTGAAGTCTAGAGATTGCAAGTCCATCCTAAGGGAGGTTCTTGAAGGCATGCCTGGAAGTTGTCATGTTTGTGCCACATTTCAGTTGAGTTCTGCAGTGTTAATTTAAATTTGTTCCTCAGCGACAGTGTAGTGTCATGTTAAAGGAAATGACCTGATCCTCAAGTTTGTACATCACGTCCTGCATGTACCATACCACTTTTTCATGATGTTTTAATATATTGGTCTCTGTGCTATAGTGGAATCTTTGGTTTTGCATCAGAGTAAAATAAAATAAACCCATCACACTTGGAACACGATTGCTTATCTGATTTGCTAGTGGTGGTTTTCTTGTATTTGATGTGGTCTTTTCAAAAATACTTTCATAGATGGGATATGTATCCAAAGTGGTATTTCTAAAACGCTGTTGCCTATCCTTTCTACTTTCATTACCCTCACACTTTCATTGCTTGGGCTGAAGGATGAAAAGGTAGGTTTTGTTCTTCTGGGGAGAAATACATCTGTTGAGGTACTTGCTTTCTCTTATGGTGTGACAGGGTAGTGTCATGATAGTAGTTTCATAAGTCTCCTGATAAAGAGGGAGGGTGTGATTTGGTGAAAAGATGGAGCAAAGAAAAGAGTACAATTTTGGGAAATATCGGATGGGAAGTGATACTGGTAGAATAGCGCCAAAGCTGTAGAAGGATGCCTCTGGATCCTCTGGGGCTTCAGAAAAATATTTTTGATTAGTTTATCTAGAAAAATGATAAGCAAAGAAGGAAGTACCACTGAGTACTTCCTTCTTTGCTTATCAGAGTAGATTTTAAGATTTTCAGGGCTTTCTAAAATCGTATTATTTTTAAAAATCTATCTTCTTTTTTTTTTTTTTTCCTCTTTCGGGACAGGTCTCTCTTTGTTGCCCAGGCTGACCTAAAATTTTCAGTCCTCTTGACTCAGCCTCCCAGGCAGCTGGGATTATAAACATATGCCACTATGCGTGGCTACCCTGTCTCTCTCTTTTTTAGTATACAAGTAATATATGCTGGTTGTAATAAATTCAAACTATTTAGAAATAAAAGTATCAATTCCCATTCCTTTTTCCAATCTTTTTTTTTTCACTATTACTTTTATATATATCCTTGTAGATATTTTTTTATTGTCTATAGATTTCATAAATACCTATACATAAAATGTTAAAAATGCATATCTTGTTTTGCAATATACTTTTTTTGGTGGGGGGAGGGTGTGGCACTGGGCATTAAACCCAGGGATGCTTTACCACAGAACCACAGCCCCAGTCCTTTTTCTTTCTTTTTTTAACTTCAGACTTGCAGTCCTCCTGTCTCAGCTTCCTAAGTTGCTGAGATTACAGGCATATGCCAATTACAATTGACTGCAATATATTTTTAAATTTAACATCGTACCAGAGTCTGCTTTGTTCGTTCATGTCTGCTTCATATTTTTTATTTGCATGCTTTAGTGTAAATGTGACATAATTTATTCCCCCCAACACTTTTTTTTTTTTTGCTTTTTAACCAATGTAACATTGAATGTTATCATTCACTTTTGTGAACAAAGCACAGCAGCACTGCCTGGTAGAATTTTCTGTGATGATGAAGTGATCTACATCGGCACTGCCCTATATAGTGGGCATGGTCCACAACATACCAATGGTTTTTGAGCACTTAAGGTGAAATAAGGGCAACTCAGCAAATGAACTTCTGATTTTATTTTATTTTAGTTAATTTAAATTAAAATAGCTAGTGGCTATTGGGCAGTGTAGTTCGGTAAGGGTTTTCTAACCATGAGATGGTCAAGTCAAGGTATAGGCATGTGGTAGGTAGTACAAAATGACCTTTCAAAAATTTTGTACCTATTTATATTTCTACTAATGGTGTTCAAGTGCCTATTTTATTACATCCCAAGAAACACTGAATGTTAGCAGACTTTGAAATTATTACAAGGTTTATTTATTTGTTTTCGTGGTATTGGAAATTGAACCCAAGGCTTCACATGTGCCAGGCAAGTGTTCTACCACTAAACCACATCCCCAGCCCTTTATCACTTTTGTAGGAGAAAATATACTGGTTTTCCTCCATATTTTTATTGTATTATAGTTGTACATAATGGTGGGATTTGTTGTTATATGTTTGTACATGCTCACAATGTAATAGTATAATTTGACTGATACCATTCCTAGTATTTCCCCTTCCTAGTATTTCCCCTTTCCCTCTCTTTCTCCCTCCCACTGATCCTTTTTCTTTCTCTCTCTCTCTTTTTTTTTTTTTTTTGTGTGTGTGTTTGTGTGTGTGTACTAGGGATTGAACCCAGGGGCACTAAACCACTGAGCCACATCCCCGGCCCTTTTTGTGTTTTGAGACAGGTTCTTACTAAGTTGCTGAGGGACCTCGTGGAGTTGCTGAGGCTGGCTTTGAACTCGCTATCCTCCTGTCTTAGCTTCCCGAGCTGCTGGGATCCCAGGCGTGGTGGCCCTTTTCTCTACTGATCTTTGATTTTCATGAGATCTGCTGCCCCCCTGGTCAGTAGACACGTTTGCTTTTTGAAAAATTTTTGTGCAAGTTACCCCTCAGACCACCAAAACTGTCTTAACTTTACTAGACAATATCCTTTACCCAAATTATGGGTAAATGGGTAATAACTTGATATCACTTATATCTACAATACCAATCACATCATTTTATTTTTTCTAATATTATCTTTAGGGTTGAACCCTCATTACAAGTAATAAAATATAACAGGAAGGTGGGTAAGCCATAAATTAGTTCTGCCTCATTAACACCCCAATCTAATTAACATGTAGCTAGTGGCTATTGGGCAAAATTGGAGCCAGCTATAGTGTGTTTGAGAGCTTTGCTATCCAAGGGCAGTTCTTCAGTCTAGTATGATTAAAGATAATAGATAGAAATGATGGGGATGGGAACTCATAAGGATATGAGCAAGGAATTGCTGATGAGAATCACCCTTAATTATTTGTTATTTATCTCCTGAGATGGTTTGTGTTTATGGCCTAGAATAGATGAGAAGGGGATTGCTATATTTTTGTATTTTTTCCCTTCTGCTGTTTCTTTTAAATGATGTAATTGATATTGCAGAGCTGAAACCAAATTTTGTATTAATGATACAGTCATGTAAATATAAACATAAGTTCAGCCTTTATTCAGTAATTGTATTGAGTCATGGCTGGTTGGACTGTCTGCTAAGAATCCTTATCACTGACAGAGACATTAAGTTCTAGTAGAAAGAAAAGGATATAAGCTTTTGTATAAGCATCATGCTGGCCTTTTTATAAGAGCCAATCTAATCCTGAAAACATCTTGGAGTCCAGAAATCCAGAAAAGAACACCATGAGAGAGGTTTCCCAGAACAGAATAGTTCGTGTGGTTTCTCATGGCTTCCTTTTCTCCCCCAGGAAATGCAGGCATTGCTGCTCACCTGTGCTGCTCCCCAACCCTTCTTGCCTCCTCCCTACCCCAGCTCTGTCTCCGCCATGTCTGTTTGGCCCTCACCACAGCCTGTGCTTGGCACACAGGAGCAAAAACTAACACGATAAATATATATTTTAACATCAGTGGCCTCTTTGGTTCAGTGGCTTCACTCCTAGGAATTTACCTTGAGGAAATCATCAGAGATGCACTGATTTATGTGCAAGGTTTCTCTCTGCAGTGTTCTTTGTAAGGATGAAAAATTTATAACCAAATGTGGACCAGTAGGGCAATAGTTAAATAAATGATGGTATATTCATTAAATGGAATATTTGTCTGCCATTACATTCCATTTTTCTAAAGGAAACAGGACATTTCACAGTATAATGTTAAACAGAAAAAAAATAAAAGATTAATCTCAATTTTATTTAAAAAAATCTGTATGCAAGTATGGGAGAAAATGCTCCAAAATATCTGTAGTCATTATCCCAGGAAGGTAGAATTATAAGTAATTTTACTTTTTTTTTTTAAATTTTTTATTGTTGGTTGTTCAAAACATTACAAATTTCTTGACATATCATATTCCACACTTTGATTCAAGTGGGTTATGAACTCCCACCTTCACCCCATACACAGATTGCAGAATCACATCAGTTACACATCCATTGATTTACATATTGCCATACTAGTGTCTGTTGTGTTCTGCTGCCTTTCCCATCCTCCCCCCTCCCCCCTCCCCACCTCTCCCCTCCCCTCCCCTCCTCTCTCTCTACCCCCTCCGCTGTATAACCCTGAGGGTCTCCTTCCATTTCCATGCAATTTACCTTCTCTCTCCCTTTCCCTCCCCCCTCTCATCCCTGTTAAATGTTAATCTTCTTCTCCTGCTCTTCGTCCCTACTCTGATCTTAGTTACTCTCCTTATATCAAAGAAGACATTTGGCATTTGTTTTTTAGGGATTGGCTAGCTTCACTTAGCATAATCTGCTCTAATGCCATC